CACCTGTATGGTGGCTTGCAACCATCTGTAACTCCAGTTCTTCGGGGATCTGATGCCTTCTTCTAGTGTCTGAGGTCACTGCACACATGTAAGGCACTGACACGCAGGTAGGCAAGATACCCACACACATAAAATAGAAATAAATCTTTTTTTTAAAAAAAAGGCTCTTCCTGTAAGAATTCAGTGTAAGTGGTCCGAGGTGACCTGTGAAATGGTCTGATACCCTCTTAACCAAGAAAACACTACAAACTCAGACAAGCCAAGTAGTTCAAGCCTCTATACATATGATAAGAATATGTGTAAAACTTCCCAAGCAGGTGGTAGATGTAATGCATATTTGAAAAGCCACCTAGTCTGAAAGGTGTCACTTTAAAGAAGCAATGTGTGCCATTCTGTCAGTATAATGGTGGAACTGGGAGGTGTGCCAAGGCCAAACACTATGGCTGGATATGACAACCTCAAAAAAGTGTTGAGGCTTTTTTCTGGATATGCTTAAAAATGCAGACAGTAATACTGAACTTAACTATTTGGATGTGGACTCTCTGGTCTTTGAACATGATCAGATGAACAAAGTACCTAAGATGCAGCTCTGAATTTACAGAGCTCAGGGTCAGATGAACCATACATGAGCTTCTAGAACAAAGAGTTCCCAAGCAAGAAGAAAAAGATATTACAGAAGGAACAAAAATCTGCAGTGTGGGAATAAATACAGCATAAAAGCTTTGTTTTTAAAGGGGGGAAGAGATTGCAGAAAACCCCCATATCAACCTCTGTACACACACACACACACACACACACCCCAACATTTACACATGTAACACCAGCACTGTATCTTCTGAACAGTTTCATTAGGTTTTTAGCTCAATTTTTCAAAATATTTTCAAGGTTCTATCTTCCAAAACTTTTACATCTTGTCTTTTGGCTGTTGTCCCTCATGATAACTGAGAAAAAAGAAAAAATCTGCTGCGTTGGTAGGTATCATACTAGATTATGCTATCCAGGAAACAAGAGTATTTCTCTTTTTTATTCTTCCCTTTCATTGAGAAACTACTGTGGGGCTTTTGTTTGTTTGTTTTTCTGGACAGGGTTTCTCTGTATTGCTTTGGAGCCTGACCTGGAACTAGCTCTGTAGACCAGGCTGGCCTTGAAATCACAGAGATCCACCTGCCTCTGCCTCCTGAGTGCTGGTTTTTCCTTTCCTTTCCTTCCCTTTTCCTTTCTTTCTTTCTTTCTTTCTTCCTTTTTAAACTTTTTTTCTACTTATTTTTGAGACAGGGTTTTTCTATATAGCCCTGGTTGTTCTGGAACTCACTATGTATACCAGGCTGGCCTCAAACTCATAGAGATCCACCTGCCTCTGATTCCCAAGTGCTTCGATAGCTCTGCCCTGGGTTTTTAATAATTTAGGAAGACTGGAGATCTGGTTCAGCAGTTAAGCATTTGTTGCCTCTGAAGAGGATCTGAGTTCATTTCCCAGTACCCACAAGGTGGTTCACAACCATCTGTAACTCCAGTTCCAATGGATCTGATGCCCTCTTCTGACACCTTCAGACACCAGGCATGTATGTGGTTGTACATAACATATATATATATATATATATATATATATATATGTATATATAGATGTACATACACACACATATATATATACACACACATACATACTTGCAGGCAAAACACTCATCATACACATAAAATAAGTGTTAAAAATAATTAGGGAGAACATAGCATATTCATTAAGCATGTAGACTCTAGAATTAGACTCCATGTCCATCATTTTCTAGCTATATGGTTTTGGGAAAGTTAACCTCTTTCATGATTGTGTGCTCCTCTAGGGGGATTTTAATAGTACATATTTCATACGGCTGTTGTGGGGATTAAATAAGCTTGAAAAGAAGTTGGTTCACTGCCTGGCAACTAATTAGTGCTCCATAACTGTTAGCTAGTGTTGCCAGCATATTTCCTTAGAAACATTTTCCTTCAAATTCTCATCTAGTTAGATTGTTTTAGGCATCATAGAAAGTCTTTTTGACATTTCTTGGTTGAATTTGTTGTAGCCAATCATAAAACAAACATTAAACGAGGTCATCTACTATTTTATGCACAGAAGAGCAAATAAAACAGACAACAGGCTGTCCTTATGTTGATCATACTGTAGTGGAAAGTGGGGTGTGGCAGAGAGACAATAAGCAAATATACAGATTTCAGATGGGACATTGCTATGGAGAAGCATCCATCGAGAAAGGGTGTAAGTAGTGAAGGGCTGCTACCTAAAATGTGGACAGGTAAGACTTGCATGCATATGAATGAATAAATGAATACATTTATTTAAAGATAGAGTTTCATTATCAGCCTTGGCTGATCTTAAATATGTAGGCCAGGTTGGCCTCAAGCTCCCAGAGATCTTCCCTACCTAGGTTTGGGGGTGGGCACCACCTCTCTTGACCAGTTTAGACTTCTTTTTAGAAAGCCTGAAACATGGCTTGCCATAGTGGTGTACACCTTAATCCCAGCACTCAGGGCAGCTAGAGAGCTACATGAAAAGATCTTCTCTCTCTCTCTCACACACACACACCCTTTAACCACCCTCCCACCCCCACCAAAAAAAAAAAAAAAAAAAAAAAAAAACAGGAAAGAAAAAGATGGTGAGGAGTTAGCCTGTGGTGATATCTTGCTTGAACAAATAAAGCCTGTCTGGGGGTAAGAGAATGGAGCTTGTCATTAGCTACCATAGAGGTCTGGAGGTCTCTATAGACAGACAGGAAGTGAGGTAGCTGTGCAGAAACAGGATATAAGCAGGGAGAAACAGGAAACCGGGCTCTTTTCTGCTGAGATGCTAAGGAGGTAAGGTGTGCTGTGGCTTGCTTCTTCTCTGACCTCTCAGCATTTCCCTCTATATCTGACTCTGGCTTTTTATTATCTACACCAATGAAGAACTCCATTTACATGAGCCAATCCAATATCTAGGAGAAGACTATTTGGGGCCAAAACAACAGCAAAAGCAAAGGCCCAGAAGAAGCAGTATGTTAGACCAGGAAAAAGACCAAAATGCAGCTAGAGCAAGACAGCAGACTTAAACTAAGTTACACAGGACATGGAAAAATGTGAACGCGATTGTTCTGCAAGTTTTTCATAAAGGAAACCATGAATATAGCGGGGCAACAGCTACAACTTGCCTGGTAGTGGAGTAGAGAAGCAGAGACGGCTTCTCAAAGGCGGTGGCTCCTGAGCTGAGTATTGGATGGACTAGGTGTCTGGAGAGAAGTGGAAAAGTGAAAACGCGGTGGCGGCCCACACCTTTAATTTTGGCACTAGGGAGGGGGGCGGAGAAGCAAGATCTCTGCTTGGCCCAGCCTGGTCTACAAAGTGAGTTCCAGGACAGCCAGGGCTACACAGAGAAACTCCTTCTCAAAAACAACAAAAAAAGCACAACAAAAATAGAAAGGTACATTCAAGCAGATATGGCAAGACTAGTGCACAGAGAAGGAAGGAAAAGTAGTCTGGACCGACGGATCGAAGTGTTTATTGAACACTAAACATTTCTTACTTCATCTGTGGCAGGCATTGTACGAGTTTGTGGAACACAGTAAAGTAAAAAAAAAAAAAAAAAGAAAAAAAAAAAAAAAAGAAAGAAAATCAGTAAAGAATTCCTGGTCTTGGCGCTGGGGAGATGGTTTAGTGGGCAAGAGTGGTTGTCCTGCAAGGCTGGGAACCTGTTCGAATCACCCGTTCTTCATCTAAAAAGGCCTGGCGTCGCTGTGCTTCCATCAGCTGGCAGGTAGAGGCAGGATCCGGAGCCCAACATCATTTTTGGCTACAGACCAAGTTCAATGCCAGACTTAGCTACACTAGTCCCCGCCTCAAACTCCCTGTCCCCTTCCCCAAAGGCCATTAAATCACAGGTCTGCAGAGGGTGGGGAATCCAGCCTTCTGGGAGGTCTGTGGCTAGAGTTGACAATGGTCCGCTTGTGCTTGCTCTCAGACCTCTGACTGTCTGGAGTGGGGATGTGGGTGGGAGACTGAAACACTGACTCGAATGGGAGATCCTGATTTAAGAGGGAGAACCAACACCCAAGTTAAGTAAGAAAACATTTATTTCGTCTCGTATGGGCAAAACAACTCGACTAAGCTCCTGGACACGAAGCCTCTCCGCCCAACCCAGTGGCAGCACTGATTCCTAGAAAGTGAAATAACACGGCTCCGATTACCTCAGGGCTCCGGCCGCATCGCCCACGGCTAACCCGTGGGGACCCCCATCTCCAGGCCTCGCCCACTCGAGCCCCACCCCGTGGCTCCTCCTTCGGGCTGCCGCTCAGGGTTTACCTCACACCCCCTCCAGCCCGCTGTGCCTGCAGGCCCTCCTCCTTCAGGCCCGCGGCAACCTCGCGGCTCCTGGGTTTCGCTCAGCGCCGCCTCCGCGGTGTCCGCAGGCCCCCGCGCGGCCCTAAGTCTCCTCCTCCTCCTCCGGGCATGCTCTCCCGTCGGCTCCGCCCTCAGCCTGCTCCTCCCCAGTGGCGTCCGGTCCGCCAGCCCCCGGGACCCCCCGCCCCGCTTCCAGCACCCGGCTAGTGGAAGCCGCGAGCTCCCGCCCCTCCGCCCCGCCAGCCCCTCCCCCGTCAGGCCCCGCCCCGGGCCCGCCCTCCTCTCCGCGCCGAAGCTCGGGACCTTTCCAAAGCCGGGCGCAGGGGTGCGCGGGCAGCCCACGCGTGGGGAGAGCGGGGCCCGCGCAGGGCGGCGCTGGCGATCGAGCGCTCGGGTGGCTCCGGTGGCGCGATCCGTCCGGGACGACGCCGACGAGACCCGGGCCGGAGCCGAGGCGGCGGGCAGGCCGCGTGCCGAGGCCTGTCCTTCCCTCCCCTCCCCGCGCGCGCCCGAGTGGTGGCGGCCGAGAGAAGGACTCGTGGCTGCGGGGCTCGCGCCTCTGTCAGTGCGGCGGGGCGCGCGAGCGGCGCAGGGCGCGGAGCCGAGGGGAGCCGAGGGGGCGGAAGCGGTGGCGACTGTCGCGCGTGTGCTCCCGCTCCTCACGCGGCGGCCGGGGCCGCCTCTCCCTCCCTCCCGCCCGCCCTCCGAGAGCGGCCGCGCCGTCGCCTTCCGCGCCTCGCGGCTCCCTCCAGACCTCAGCGCGGGTGAGTGGGGGCCGCGGGCCGCTCGGGAGGAGTGCGGGCGGGCGGGCGGGCGGGCGCTCCTTGTGCCTCTTCGCTCCTCAGCGCCTCAGGCGGGCCGTTGCCTATTTTTAGAAACTCTTTCGGCGGTGCCGGGAGTCCTGGAAGCCGGAGTAACTCTCGGCCCCCTCCCTCTGGGCTTCCCCTCCCAGGCCCGCCGCCCCGGGGCGTCTCGTCCTGGCCGCCTGGCGTCCGCGGCTTGCCTCTGGTCAGCAGGCCGGGCCGGGGCCAGGAGTTGGGGGTGGGCCGGAGCCCGCTCGGAAGTTGGAGTCTTTTGTGCTCGCGCCCCGCCCCGCCCGGCGAGGGGAGGAGGGGAGGGAGCGGAGGTTGCGCCCGGAGGCCTCGGGCGGGCTGGGGCCTGGCCCTGGCCCTGGCCTCGCTCGGGGACCCGGACTCTTCCGGCTTTCCGGCCCGGGCCAGGTCTTTGGGATCTCTTAAGCGCGCAGAACTGGTCCTTCCTCCCCCTCCCCACTGGTTTGAGAGCCTCGCTCGCCACCCTCGCCTGTCCTTTGGTCGTTGTCACCTGGGGCGCTGGAGGGGACGACCAGCCCTCGAACTGGGACTGGGTCCCACACTTTGCTCCAGTCCTCTTCGCGACCGAGCCTCAGTTTTTTCTGGGGTGAAATGGGGTCAAGAAGGGACACAGCCCCGCAGGGTGTGTGTTAGTGAATTCAGGGAGGGTGTTAGTACATGGCAGAATTACATGCCAACAGGTAACGTTCCATTAGACTGACCCAGGAACTTCGTGAATGTATCACCTCGTGTCCACAGCGGTCTTCCAGAGTTGTCCTTACTCAAAGGTGCAGAAATCTGGTTGCAGAGAAATGAAATAGCCATAGGAGTGCAAAGCTGTTAGTTACTGTTACTTATTTCTTGTTCAGAGGGCATTTTGATTTACCGTTAGGATTGACACCATGTAGTTAACTCCGGGTTCCTCCATGAGACATTGACCCATCTGCCACAGATAAAGTCCTCTGTTGTTGCTATCAGAACTCTGAGGGAAAGGTGATTAGGATGAATTTGTTTTGCTGGTGGTGTGGTTAGACGTTATTCAGAGATCTTAAATGAAGTTCTGAGCTTAAGGACCGCGAGTCCACCTTTTGCTTTATTGCACGTCTCCCTATTCCCCCAACCTCAAATCTTGTATGTTCTCCATGATCTTAGTTGGAAAGGTCAGGGGTGTAGGTAGCTCAAGGTAACTGCCTCAACTCCTTGCCTTCAAATACTGTTATTTTTCTTGGTTTCCCATTGAGGCCTAGAGGGGTTAAAGTGAACTAAAATGAACTTTGGCAATTGTTTTCTGTTGGCCGTGAGTTTGATATTGGTTGTGGGGATCATCTGGAAAATCAGACAGAGCCGGGTCTTGAAGCTCTCTTGTTTGCATTAGTTCTTCCCCGACTGGTAGGATTGCTGTGCTGCATCCTTAAGATTCTAGCTTTAAAGCTGGACAGTGGTAGTGCTGACCTTTAGTCCCAGCACTCAGGAGGCAGAGGCAGATGGATCTCTGAGTTCCAGGCCAGCCTGGTCTACAAAGCTACAAAGAGAAACCCTGTCTCAGAAAACAATAAATAAATAAATAAATAAGATTCTATATTTAGTAGTGATAGAATATAGGTCAATGGCTCAATAGATCACCCCTTCTTTGCTTTTAACTGATCCTTGAAAGGGGAAAAAGGTTATCTAAAGAAGACTACCTTGGTGATTACTAGAATTCCCAGTAGCCTTTCTTTCAGTCTAGTTTCCCCCCTCCCAATACGTTGTCATTTGTTGAATATGAACTACCTTTTCAGGCCTCAAGATCAGGAGTTTCAGGTTATTTGTCCTCTCAAAAGACCTTGTGTGGTCTCAGCCACTTTCTGTGCCCCATGTCTAAAGAGCAGGTATCTGTATTTTAAGTTAACACATTTGTTTTAGTTTCCTAATGGTTTAGGTACTCTTCTGTAAGTGTTGTGTTACTTGACTTCTAGTTTAGTGTGAACTAGTTTGCAGGCCTTTGTAGTGTCAGGCAGTAGAAACAGAATAGGACTTTGCTTTAGGATCACAGGATTTAACTGGTGTTGACTTGTACAAGGAGCTGAGCCATTCCTTGTGGCCCTTTGAGTCTGTTTCCTTATGTGTCAAGTCTCATAGGATGCTGTGGAGACAAGAAAATGATTGTGAAAATGCTTGTTGCAGTATTAATAGCTAACATCTATTAGTGATAGGTCTAAAGATTATTAGTGGACCATGTCATTTGATCCTTGCAACAATCTATGAACTAAGTATTATCCCTGCTTTACAGAAGAAACAGGCTTAAAGAAAGGCAACATCACTTGCCTAGGCCCATGTAATTGGCCAAGCTGGATTTACTCTGTAGACAGTAAAATTAGATCCTTTTAGAAACTGTGGTGTCATACATGTATGTGATATTTTAAACAGTTGGCATTGCAACAATTTTCCAGTGTGCAGTTCTATGGGAGTAAGTATATTTTACATTGTTGTACAGCTGACATCCCAAATTACCTTACCTTTCCCAACTGAAACTGTCTTGGTCAAAGATTTCTTGTTGAAGATTACTGGCAAACATCATTCTGTTTTCTACTGTAAATTTGACTACCCTAGAACCTTCATGGTGAAGTGACATAATTCAATCTTTGTCCTTCTGTGATTGCCAAAGCTAGCATTTTTTGCCTTCATTTCAGTGTTTGGTAAATACAGAACGATATACTAGTGTTGGACCCCAATTCTGGGGTCCTGATGGGAGAGCCAGTGGGAGAGCCCTGCGACACAAACACCAAGATGCAACAAGCAAGAGGTGTTTGTTGAATGAGTTCACTTGGTGTCAGTGATCTCAGGGAAAGCTGCACACACTCCCAAAGGGTTCAGGCTCTCTTTTTATAGAGAAAGACCACACTCCGCATACATGGGGCATAAGGTGATTGATTACAAAGTATGATCTCATGTTTGAGAGATCACCCAGGTATGACCTGTTCTTATTCAAAGGATAAACCATAGAATGACTTGGAAAGTCCCCAGACTGTCCGTTGGGCAGGAGTGACCCAGACAGGGCTGTTCATCTGGAATCATTTGTTCCAGGGTTGGGGGGCCTATTTCCTTGTTGTGGGCCAAGACCTATGAGAAACTTTTTTCATACTCTGGCTTTCTCTTGGCTGTAACTAGCCCCATTTAACAAGATCAGTCTAGCATATAACCATTAGCCCCATCACCATAGTAACTTTCTTGTTCTCATAATTTCTGTCTTTTCCTCCCATGTCAATGTCCATTCTTTATGATTTTCTATATTCCACTTGCAAGAATTATTCTTCTGCCCCTTTCCTACATCCTTGCTCTGCAAACTAAAATCTTTCACTAGTTCTCATCTGTGGCAGAGAATGATGTCCCTAAAGCAGGAATCTAGGCTTGGTTGTGTCTCTGGCAAAGCCCCCTTCTCCACACTACAGTTTAAGCTTTATTGCAGAAGCCAATTCTGGAATTATGCTAGCCCTGTGTTTTCAGAGGGAGACCTTCTACCCTTGAACTAGAACCCAGACTACTCCGTAGTCTCTGTGCATGCTTATTTGGCCATTCAGGGTTTGGTATACAGTAGTAGTGATCAGGAATAGCAGACTATGACAGCAGCTTGGATTAAATTTGTCAGCTGATTAGGTGGATTAATTACCTCAATGACAAGCTCCCCTTTTGTGTCCCTCTTTCCATAAAGGCACACAGAAAGGATTAGAATTTGGAGCCTAGAGTCTTAGGTGATTTTATGGATCCTCACTGCTGTAGGTGGTTGGGGTGGGGTTAGGGTTACATTGAGCCTTTCAAAATTCACTTTGGTTAATCTGTTTCTGTGTCTTGTATGAGATTTTTATATTTATGAAAGTTGGCTGGAATTTTGTCTGATAGTAATTTGGCAGGACATTGGACCTTATCTTGAAGTATGGGGGTGTCTATGACTTTGGGCATTTTGTGGATGCTATCTCTGGTAATTTTCTAGTGGAGTAGACTGAGCTAGAGCACTGGAGTGTTCCAGATATGGGGACTAGGACAATGAACATGGTTATGTTGTGCTCTAAATCTCATAACCCATATTGCCTATATACTAAAGTCAGTGTGTTGAATAGTATGTTTGATAAAGTGCCATTCCCCCCCCCCCTTTATAATGTGGTGCTTGAGATTAAACGTGGATTAGTCTTTATTTTATGTGTATGGGTGTTTGGTCTGCATATATGTCTGTGTACCATGTGTATGCATTGCCTAAGGAGGACAGAAGATGATGTCAGCTTCCCTATATTAACTGGAGTTTCAGATAGTTGTGAGCTGCCATGTGGGTGGTGGGAGTTGAACCCAGGTATTGGAAATTTTTTTCATTTACTGAATTAAAACAACTTTTTTTTTTTTTTTTTTTTTTTTTTTTTTTTGAGGAAGGATTTTACTATGTAGCTAAGGCTGTCTTAGAACTTGGTACTTCTTCTCCTCAGCTTGGAGTTACAAGAAGCATCACTGATGATGCCAGCCTGCATAAACTAGTTTTGAGGCATTTACTAAACATAATACTAGGCTTGAGGATTTGGGTACATTTAGTCATGCAAAGAAACAGGCATATGAGAAGTATTGTGACAAGGACAGGACCTTGAAAGCATTGAGGGATAAACGTCTAACCTAGCCTTGTTGTTGGGTCAAGAGGGCATCCTTGGAGAAGTTGGCTAGGCCTAAACATAAGCCAGGAAAATGAAATTTGGGGAGCCACAGTGACAGGAAAATTCAAGGCAGAAAGAACAGTAATTCTAGAGTTGGTAATAAAGTTATGAGACTTTTGTTTACTTACTGTATTAGGTACAGTTGTAGGCATTTAACATTTGTTAGCTTCTTCCTGAGAGGTAGCTAAAATTATTGCCATCCTGTAGGTGAGGAAAGCATCTTGGGAATTAAATGTATTTCTCAAGATTCTCAGGTTAAGTGTAAAGCCTCAGCTGAGTGGA